AGGAAAGTAGAGAAGATGAAGATTCATGAATTATTTCTTTTTGCAAGGTATCTGTACTGAAACTGTAAAGGATTCTTGGTGTCGGTATAATGAGGGTGTTAAAAGTAACGATACGAAAATTGGGAATTTAAGAGTGATTAATGTAATCACTTCGGTTTTCGAAAGGAGTGTGAGGCAGCAAACTATTTTATTTTGTTATGGTTTTGTTTAGTTAACTTATTCTTTCTATCGTTTAGTTTATCTGTCAATTTTCAGTTTACACTTAAACGCTAACTCACTTCCTAGGTAATAGCATCAACTTTTAGATTTTACCAGTTATCAGACTGACACCAGTTTCCCATATCGGTGACGTACAGATATTTAACATTAGTAAATAATGATTACATGAATTAATCTGTTCTAACTAGTCATTTAATTATTGCAGCTTAGGTTGTATTTGGACTCGAGGATTTCCCGTAATCTGAGCCGGAAGGTAGAGAAGCTGAAGATAGAAGAACATGAACGAAATTTCAATGTAAGGTATATGTACTTAAACTGGGCAAGATTCATGATGTCAGTATAATGAGGTCGTTAAGAGTAAGGATACGAAAATTGGGAATTTAGGAGTGATTAATGTAATCACTTTGGTTTACGAAAAGGAGTGTGAGATAGCAAACTCTGTTTTTATTTTGTTATGCTTTTGTTTACCATTGAATTATTTCTTCTATCGTTCAGTTAATCTGTCTTTTTAATTTACATTTAAACGCTAACTCGCATTCTAGTTAGTCACATAAATTTTTAAACTTGTATAAATTATCAGATTGAAGCTAATTTTCCATAGGGGTTGACGTACAGATATTAATGTTGGGAAAGTGTGCACATGATTATCACATGAATTCTGATCTCTTGATGTGAGTAGTTTAGTTAATTATCACAGATTAGCTGGTCTTGGAACCCAACAACTTACGTTGAACTGAACTAGAGCCGGAAGCTAAAGCCGAATATAGAAGAAAAGGGAATGATTTCGCCTTGAAAGGTATTTGTATTTAAATTGTTAAGGATTGACGATGTCAATATAATGAGGGCGTTAAAAGTAAAGATACTAAAATTTAGAATTTTAAACAATTAATGTAATCCCCCTTTTTTAAGGAGGAAGGAGTGTGAGGTAAAAAGTTTAATTTTTATTTACTTATAGATGTTTTTACCGTTCATTTATTATTAATTCTCTCATTTAGTTAAGCTGTGACTACTTAGTTTTACTTGTAAACGTTAATTCTCAGTCTAGTTATTCACATCAATTTTAAGAAACTATTTAGATCAATAGATTTAAAATCATGTGATCATTATTTACATACTCATTGTAGCTTAGCTGGTCTTTGGACTTAACTTCCAGTAACCTGAATCGGAAAGTTTAATACAGAAGATAATTAATATATTCTTAATAACAGCATTAGTAAATTAACTACTATTAATTGTGTCCGAAAGATACTAACGGTTGTAAGCCTCTCGCTGTAGCTTTCGGTGTATTTCAACTTTGAATATTGTCTGTTTAATATCTGTAAATAGTTCTGTTCGTTCTTCTACGGTTGCAGATGTTGGGTATTTGTAGTTGTTTCCAAGAACTCCTTTTTTGACCACTTATGAAACTAATTGTTTAGTTTAGATGTAGTTTATGGATATCCCCATTGCCAGAACTTTCTACTAGCAAAGAAAAATGTATTACAAACATTAGGATTAATGTTTCTATAAATAAAAGGAATTATAAAATACAATATGTACAAAACTACAGTTTATAAAGTTGTCAATAAGTAATAACAATTACTATCTCGTGACACAACTTATTGAAAATATTAAAAATTGATATTAATATTTACATACTATTTTGAAACATTAATATTTGCAAGTTACTGATACAGGAAACTGGTGTCAGTCAACATTTAGAAACTTCAAATGACGTAGTTAAGTAGAATGCGAAGTAGCGTTTAAACGTAAAACTAAAATTGTATAGGTTAACTAAACAATAGAAAGAATAATAAAAGAACTGAAAACAAAACCATAACGAAATAAAAAATAGAATTTGCTACCTCGCATTCCTTTCCCCCTATCGAAAAAAGAAAGGGATTACATTAATCACCGTTTATAAATTCCCAATTTTCGTATCCTTACTTTTAAGGACATCATTATACGGACACCACGAATCCTGACCAGTTTACGCTTTTTCTTTCTAAGGTATATGTACTTAGTGTTCTCAGATCTTCAGCTTCTCTACCTTTTGCACTTATTCTAAAATTTATTCTAAGAACAATGGACTGTTTAAATTTATTTATGTTACTCCATTTTTTTATATTAAAAAAATCTGTTTAATGGTAGAACAATTTTACTTGTTTAAATTGAAGAAAAGATAATTATTTCTATACCAGAAAATGCTCATCGTTCTATGTCGTTGTAGAAAAAAGTGGCGTCAAAAAGCTTGAAGAGTGCCTCCCCTCCCCCAGCTCCAATGAGATGAACTTCTTTAGACGTATCCACATCTCATCCTTCGACTTAACGAGTCATTTATGTCATCTGCCCAACCTAGATGGTATTCAAACTCAAGTACTCCCTGTATGGTGAACCAGAGCAGGAAATTAAAAATCAATCTTTAGACTTAAGAACATAGACAATTTGTCCAAGTATATGTACTTAACTGTGAGGGATTCATGATGTCAGTATAACGAGGGTCTTAAAAATAAGGATACGAAAATTGGGAATTTATAAGCAGTGATTTAATATTATCACTTTCTTTGTTTAAAGCGGAATGAATGTGAGACAGCATATTCTTTTGTTATTTTGTTATGGATTTCTTTACCGTTCGTTTATTCATTCTATCGTTTAGTTAACCTCTGGATTTTTATTTACACTTCAACGCTAACTCACCTTCTAGCTAATCTCATCAATTTTTAATTTGTATGAATTATGAGACTGACATCGGTTTCCCCCTATTAGTGACGTACAGATATTAATATTGGTAAAGAATATGTACAAGATTTGTTATTTAACTGTTATAAATTAACTGGTCTTAGAGCTGTAACTTCGTTAAGCTGAACTAGAACCGAAAGATAGTCGAATTTGTAAGAAAGTGGTTTCTCCTTGTACTGTATCTCTGGTTAAACCGTGTAGGATGTCAGTATAACGTTACAAGTAAGGACTTAATTTTAAAATGAATAATGTAATCACTTCTTCTAAAGGGGAAAGACTGCGAGGTAGGAAGTTTAATTATATTTTGTTTTCGATTTGTTTATTATTCATCCTATCATTTAGTTAATCTGTAAATTTTTAATTTGCATCTTAGTTATTCACATCAATGTAAAATTTTAATTATGAGACCGACACCAGTTTCTCATAGCGGTGACTTATAGATGTTAATGTTGGTAATGATTATATAAATAATAATCATAATATTTCAAATCTCTTGATCTAATTAATTATAGCAACTTTGCTGGTCTTTGGACTTAACTTCCCGTAACCTGAATCGCAGCAGAAGGTAGAGAAGCTGAAGATCTGAGAACACTACGCCTCTTCTTTGTAAGGTATATGTACTTAAACTGGGCAGGATTCATGGTGTCAGTATAATGAGGTCATTAATAGTAAGGATAC